TCTTTTCTTTTGTTGATATGGTGGATTATGTTGATTGATTTCCGAATGTTGAACCATCCTTGCATCCCTGGGATGAATCCTACTTGGTCATGGTGTATGATCTTTTTGATGAGTAGTTGGATTCTATTTGCTAGTAGTTTGTTGAGGATCTTTGCATCTGTGTTCATCAGGGATATCGGCCTGTAATTCTCTTTCTTTGTGGTATCTCTGTCTGCTTTTGGTATCAGTGTGATATTTGCTTCGTAGAAACTGTTCGGAAGTGTTTTTGATATTTCAATTTCGTGGAAAAGCTTAAAGAGCATTGGGAGTAAGTCCTCTTTAAAGGTTTGGAAGAATTCACTAGTGAATCCATCCGGGCCAGGACTTTTGTGCTTGGGGAGACTTTTTATTACCATTTCAATTTTCTTGATGGTGATAGGTCTGTTCAGGTATTCCAGGTCTTCTTGGTTCAGCCTTGGGAGTCTGTAGGAGTCTACGAATTTATCCATTTCCTCGAGGTTTTGATGTTCCGTGGCATAAAGCTTCTCAAAGTACTTCCTGAGGATCCTCTGAATTTCTGTGGTTTCTGTTGTAATGACCCCCTTTTCATTTCTGATTCGGTTTATTAGGGTTTTCTCTCTCCCTTTCTTTGTGAGTTTTGCTAGAGGCTTATCGATCTTGTTAATTTTCTCAAAGAACCAGCTCTTGGTTTCATTGATCTTTCGGATTGTTTTTTGGGTTTCCATCTCGTTAATCTCTGCTCTGAGTTTTATTATTTCCTTTCTCCTGTTCGGGTTGTGCTCCTTTTTTTGGTCCTTCTCCAAGCTCTTAAGCTGTGAGGTTAGGTTACTTATGTGTGCTCGCTCCTCCTTCCTGAGGAATGCTTGTAGAGCTATAAACTTTCCTCTTAACACAGCCTTTGCTGTGTCCCATAAGTTTTGGTAACTCGTGTTCTCATTTTCATTCGTTTCTAGGAATCTTTTGATTTCCTCTTTGATTTCCTGTCTAATCCACTCATTGTTCAATAGTGCACTGTTTAATTTCCAGGTGTTTGATTTAGTTTTCTGTTTTTGTGTGTGATTTACTTCTAATTTCAGCGCATTATGGTCTGAGAAGATTGTTGATACAATCTCTACCTTCTTAATTTTATGGAGGCATGTTTTGTGGCTCAGCATGTGGTCTATCTTGGAGAATGTTCCATGTACGCTTGAGAAGAATGTGTATTCAGCTTTTTGTGGATGAAGTGTCCTGTATATATCTACTAAGTCCCTTTCTTCCATTGTTTCCCTCAAATGAAGTATGTCCTTGCTAAGCTTGAGTCTGGTTGATCTATCAAGAGGTGACAAAGCAGTGTTGAAGTCTCCCACTAGTATTGTGTTGCTATTGATATCTTTTTCCAAATCTATGAGTAGTTGTTTTAAGTACTTTGCTGGTCTCTCATTAGGTGCATATACATTTATTATTGTAAGTTCTTCCTGTTGTACAGATCCTCTGATCAATAAGTAATGGCCTTCACTGTCTCTTATGACCTTCCTCACTCTGAAATCAATGTGGTCTGATATAAGGATGGCTACCCCAGCTTTTTTATGGGAGCTGTTTGCCTGTAGGATTGTTTTCCAGCCTTTGACTCTGAGTCTGTGTTTGCTTTGACTATTGAGATGCGTTTCTTGCAGGCAGCAGAATGTTGGGTTCAATTTTCTAATCCATCCTGCCACTCTATGTCTTTTAATTGGTGTGTTTAGCCCATTGACATTGAGAGAGATTATTGTTATGGGATTTTGTCCCATTGTTCTGTTAAAATTGGGTGTATTTGAGGGGCCTTTCTTGCCTTAAAGTAGCCCATTTAGTTGTTTTTGTAACCATGGTTTTGAGTCTATGAAGTTCCTGAGCTGTTGTTTGTCTGTGAAACTGTGTGTTGTTCCTTCTATTATGAATGAGAGTCTTGCTGGGAAAAGTATTTTGGGGGAGGCATTTATTTCATTGAGTTTTTTTTACTATGTCCCACCACTGTTTTCGGGCCATGAGGGTTTCATCAGAAAAATCAGCTGTGAATTTTAAGGATGCTCCTTTGTAAGAGATTTCTTTCTTCGATCTTGCTGCTTTCAGAATTTTGTCTCTGTCTAAGGTTTTGGTCATTTTGATCAGAATGTGTCTTGGGGTATTTTTATTCGGATTTCTTCTAGCTGGTACCCTTCGGGCCTCCTGAATGTGGTCACAAGTTTTCTTCAGCTCTGGAAATGTTGTAGCAATGATGTCTTTGACAGTTTCTTCTTCATCGAGGTTTTCTTCCTGTCCCTCTGGGACTCCAATAATTCTTATGTTACCCCTCTTGGCTTCATCACGATCTTCTCTTGCCATCTGTTCCCGAATTGTGAGTCTCTTTTCCATTTTCTGCTCTTTTCGGGAGAGTCTCTGAACTTCATCCTCGAGCTCACTGATTCTGTTCTCAGCCGCTGTTACTCTGCTGCTGAGGCCTTCCACTGAGCTTTTCAATTCGCCTACGAGATTTTTCAGGTCTGACATTTCTGATTGCATTTTCCTCATTTCTGCCTTCAGATCCTCTTGTCTTCTATTGTCATTGCTTTCCATTGTTTCTTTTAATTCCCTAAGCATCCTAAGTAGCTCCCTTCTGAATTCCTTGTCAGAGAGGTTGTCTAACACTACAGTACTGTTGGTGTCATCTGGGCTAGACTCTTCAATATGAATGTTTGGTGGGCTTTTGCGTTGCTTTACCATTGTGAGAGGTGTGGTTTAGTCCTTCAAGTTCAGTGTTACTATTCTGCTTGATATGCAGTGTGAGTTAAGATAGGCTTATGAGTTATTGGCAACTGTATTTCTAGTGGCTGAGCTAAAATAGAGAAGTTTCCATCTAAGAAGTTAGCTTATGGTTCCTATGGCATACGTAGTGGGAAAACGCGGCTAACGCGGCTCCGGAAAGAGTCCCTGGCACTGGGCGAGGAGTTGGGAATGTCTCCTGTTTGGAATTGGAGCCGTTCAGCTTTGTTGCCCAGAGCTGGGCCTCTGTGCCCGTCCCACGCGGATCAGGGGTTGAAAACCGGCTGTCTCGGGGCTGTTTCTAGCTGCGCGTGCCCAGAGAGGAACCCAGGCCCTTGGGGGCGGGCTGTACCTGTTGGAATTGGAGCCGTTCAGCTTTGTTGCCCAGAGCTGGGCCTCTGTGCCCGTCCTAAGCGGATCAGGGGTTGAAAACCGGCTGTCTCGGGGCTGTTTCTAGCTGCGCGTGCCCAGAGAGGAACCCAGGCCCTTGGGGGCGGGCTGTACCTGTTGGAATTGGAGCCGTTCAGCTTTGTTGCCCAGAGCTGGGCCTCTGTGCCCGTCCCACGCGGATCAGGGGTTGAAAACCGGCTCAGCCCTTGAAATTCTTAAAAGCTTAAGTAAACCTACTGTAGGCAGTGTAAAGTTGTATTACATATTCCTTGTCATTTTAAGACATTATATGGAGAACCAATTGGACTTAAGTGTTGTTCATGAAAGCAGAGACATGTGATGACACACCAGAGGTAGAAAATGGGCTCCTGCAAACCACAACACCCAAAAGGAGAGAGAGAACAGAGGGGAATGCCCTGTCACAGAGGCAGGGTGGGATGGGGGGATGGGGGTGGGAGGGATACTGGGATTCGTGCTGGTGGGAAATGGGCACTGGTGAAGGGATGGGTATTTGATCATTGTATAATTGAAACCCAAGCACAAAATTTGTAAGTCTACAAATGTACCTCATGGTGTCTCACTAATAAAAATAAATTTTAAAAAAGTGGGCTCCAAAATAAGTTACAGGGATTGTTGGAATGTAATAACTGATATAGCCAGTAATGGAGCTAATAAGGTCAGTTTAGCCAGTAAGAAAAAAACAGGTTCTGACTAAGGCAAGGAAGACCAACTCATGAGCTACATTGACTAGATAAACTGCTACCAAGTGAATATAGGGCTTATTGCTCCACATATCAAAGAGAGAGCAGACATCAAGCATGAGAACATTATCCTCTTTGATGCCAGAACTGTCGGATCTTGAAGAAGAATTAGTGGCTGAAGAAGCTCAGAGTACACCAAATGAGAGACCCTAAAAGTGACTAAAAACTGTTTAAATCAGATATGTTTAAACCACATTATACACACATATAAAATTGCTTTCAAGTGCCTTTACTTATATATCCTTGTTTGAAATTTCATAGAAATTTTAGGTTCTATATGAATCACATGTACATAATCTCCCCACTGTAATATGAATATGGGGAGCCCGTGGTGGGAATGAAAATCCCTTGCCTTCTTCATTACTGTGCTATTATTTTTTCCCTTTTTCTTTCTTTTTTCAAGTTGAGCTACACAGTTAAAAAGTTGTTCATGATTGGTTTCATTCATACAATTTTCCGTCACCTGCTGCTATTAAAGGCACTTTGTCTCAAGATGAAGGCCACTTTATTGAGTACAGGGAAGCTGGGAATGACTTAAAGGAGGTAAAACACACAGGTTCAGCAGTGAGAAAGCCTGAATTCAGATTCACTCTACCAGAGTTCTGAGGATGAATAAACATATATTGTTTCCATCTCCAGTGAGGAAAGAGTTCAGTGGGGGAGAGGCACACTGGCTTTATCCTGGCTGCTGGCCTATGAAGGGATTCGGCTCAAGAGTCTGGCTGCCTTTGTGTAAAATACCTTTCAGGGAAAATCCTGGCAGGAAGTGTCATCATACCACTGTCCCTTCACACAATTACAGGAGAGGAAATCAAGTTTCAGGAAGAACACGACAGCTGTAATGTATATTGTTTATTAAACATGCAATCAATCATCAGGAATTTTCATAGAGAGAATCCAAAAATATGTCAGGAAGTTTCATTAATTGAGATTAATCTTGATATATATTTTCAAGAGAACTGAAAGTAGAGATGGTATTTTATGATGGAAGGGAAAATGTAAGATTTATAGAGATGAGTTTCAAGCTGACAGGACTCTTGAGGCAGGTCCAGTTCCTGTAGGAAGCAAGACACTTGGGTAGAATTTTCAAATAGACTGTTTACCTGGCCAGGGAGATACCATAGTCCCAAAGGTGGTTTTCCCAGGCAAAGCTCATCCATTACATTCAGAATGTGCTGACCCTTGCAATTTCCCCAAATGTGGGAAACTCAACCACATAATGTGTGGTAATGGGGGACTGTGTTCTTGTTCTCCCTTGGAAACAAAAGAAGAATTTTCAAATGGACGTGAACTTTCTCCACAGTTCTATACAGTACTGATGAAACTCTTGAGGATTCATGAATTTCTCTATTAGAATCAGATTTTTATACTATAAATCTCTTTTTGATACATACTTAAAGGAAAAAAATAACACTTTTGTCAAATTTCTGTAAGAACTATACCATCTGATGCCTATAGCCTCCATCACCACGTTAGCAAGGACATCATCATTAAGTGGTGGGATAAGATGAGGGCTCTTGAAAAAATGTGCTGATGATATCCAAGTTGCTGAATTTTCTGCCTTAAATTGGTATGCATAAAGGAAATTATCAAGCCTAAATTAGGAAGACTAACTGGGAGCAGCAAACATTTATAGTGAGCACTTACTTTGTGTTGGATGTTCTTCTATTCTTTTGAAAAGTTCAATGACAACATCTCAGAAGGAGGGTTTGACCATGCAGCATAGAAAATTAAGGAGGTTAAAGAATTAGGAGAATGACTCTACAAAGTTATCCAAATAGGGACTCACCAAGCCATAAATGAAATCTAGACAGTTTGACTTCAAATCTTTTTGTTGTTTTTGAATAGTTTTGGGATTACACGGCGCCAGGGGGCCAGTTGGTGGGTGTGACCCTCGCCTACTGGAATTCGGAGGATCTGGGTGGAGGATGCTCGGCCCAAATCCGAGTAGGCTTGGAGATCTCGGCCCCGGAACCCGCGTGACTTTGTCCCTCTGCCAGTACCTTCATGTGTGCGGAGAGTGGTCTCAGCATGGTGGTGGCTGGTCCTGGAGGTCTATGGCTGCTGGATCCCTGGTCGGGGCAGGGAGGAAAGCTCAACCCGCTCCCCTCCAAGGGGTCCCGGCGAGCGAGGACAGTCAGGCGCGGGGGCAGGAGACTGCACTGTTCTCTTCCGGGAACTGGTTTTTATAGTCTCTGAGTCTTGGCCATTGATGAAATTACACGGCGCCAGGGGGCCAGTTGGTGGGTGTGACCTCCTGCCCCCGCGCCTGACTGTCCTCGCTTGCCGAGACCCCTTGGAGGGGAGCGGGTTGAGCTTTCCTCCCCACCCCGACCAGGGCTCCTGAAGCCAAAGACCTCCAGGACCAGCCACCACCAAGCTGAGACCACTCTCTGCACACATGAAGGTACTGGCAGAGGGACAAAGTCACGCGGGTTCCGGGGCCGAGTCTCCAAGCCTACTCGGATTTGGGCCGAGCATCCTCCACCCAGATCCTCCAAATTCCAGTAGGCGGGGGTCACACCCACCAACTGGCCCCCTGGCGCCATGTAATCCCATCAACGGCCAAGACTCAGAGACTATAAAACTCAGCTCCCAGAACCGCGCGGCCACGAATCTTATTATGACATCTTATTATCTCATTCCTACTTTGGACAAACTGGCAGGTTACCCAATGTAGCCTGCCCACACGGCAGAGTCTGGCAAACTCCCCATGGCATACCCAATATGCCAAATACCAGTAACAATGATGGGTCTCATTCTCCTAAAGAGCCTTGAATTCTCCTAAAGAGCCTTGAATATCTTCTCAGGGCTAGGATGAAGGAGACGTTGCTGGGACCTGCTCGAGGCAATTGACGAATAACAGGATGATTTGTGATTTGTGTTGTGATTTGTGAATAGTGTTCATTCGGGGCAAGGTAATAGGATTTCTTTAAATAAGCCTTGTTACAGTTTATATATAATTTTACCAAATTTAAATTATTAAGTGACTAATTTTGACTAACAACACAGTTATGACATAACCAAAATAATGAAGATGTTGAATATTTCTACCATCTGAAAAGTTTCTGTGTGCCTTCTTGGAGTTTTTTGGTGTTTTGAGTTTGTTTTTGAGGGGGAGGATTTTGTTGGGCCATACCTAGTTGTGCTCAGAGCATGCTCCTGGCTCTGCTATATTCACGGATTATTCCTGGCATACTCTGAGAACCATATGGGGTGCCAAGAATCGAACATGAGTCAGATGCATGAAAGGCAAACACCTTACCCAATGTACTATAGCACTAACCCTCTGTGTCCTCTTTCTACCAATCTTCTTGCCTCACAGTTGGTCCAGAATGAATATTGATTTTCCTTCTTTTTTCACTATAATTACATTTGAATAGTTACAAGGTTTTCAGTACTGTGAAAACAACTTCCATGAATATTCATATATAAATTGTCACTGTCACTGTCCTCCCGTTGTTCATTGATTTGCTCGAGCAGGCCCAGTAACGTCTCCATTTTGAGACTCGTTACTGTGTTTGGCATATTGAGTACGTCACGGGTAGCTTGCCAGGCTTTGCTTGCGAGGCTTTGCCATGCAGGCGAGATACTCTTGGTTGCTTGCCGGGCTCTCCAAGAGGGGCAGAGGAATCAAACCCAGCTCTGCCAGGCTGGCTGCACACAAGGCAAATGCCCTACTGCTGTGCTATCGCCCCAGTTCATAATATATATGTATATATATATATATATATATATATATATATATATTTTCCAGGCTCAACAGACCCAGGGACAGAGATCCTCTGCTTGCTCCCATCAACCACAGGTGACAAATGGATTATAATAAGGACCCCCACCCTACCCTGCCCTGTCTGCTTACACCAACCACCAGAGACCCAGGGATTGGATTGCTCACAGAAGACCCACCCTACCCCTACCGGGACCAGATAAATACCCTACTGGCAGACCTCCACTACCGACACTACCTCCACTACCCAACCGTCGCCACACTCCAGGACTCTTTCTGGACCTGCGCGGCCGCGCGACACATTATAAAACACTAAATACCCATCTTCCGGAATTGCCGTACCATATTTGATAGGATTCAAATATGGAAACACCTACCAGGGTGATTAGAGGTTGCCACAAAAGCCTCTATCCCTCTTGGAAAGACTGGCAAGCTACCGAGAGTATTCCGCCTGCACGGAAGAGCCTGGCAAGCTATCCGTTGTGTACTCGATATGCCAAAACCAGAAATTACAACTGGTCTCATTCACCTGACCCTGAAGGCTTCACCGACATGGCAGCACTGAGATGGAAAGGCTGATAAAATCTCAAGGCCGAACTAGTCTGCCACAACGAAGGAAGACAAAAATGATCGTCTGTACTTTCAATGCACGTACGCTAGCATCAGATGCATCTATCGAGGACCTGATGGTACAAGCGCGAAAGATCAAGTACGACATCACTGGTCTGACTGAGACAAGAAGGCACGAATCTCACCATGCCGTTTTCGACACTGGAGAAGAATTTTTTCTCAGAACATGTGATAAAAGAGGTGGCAGAGGCGTTGGTGTCCTTGTCAACGCAAACTTGGCCATGAGCATTGATTCATTCGAATGCCTAACAACCCAAATCGGACGTTTACATTTGAATAGATGTGGTTCACTGCTGGCAGTTTCTATCTTTGTTGTCTATGCACCAACATCACATTATGATGAAAGAGAAATTGAGAAGTTGAGAAGTTCTACATGGAGCTGGAGAAGTTCTATAAAGAAGACCACACCTTCTACAAGATCATTGTGGGTGATTTTAATGTCAAGATAGGACCGAGAAGATCAGCTGAGGAACTTCACATAGGGACCCATGGCCTAGAATGGAATGAACAGGGTGAGAGACTGTCTGAGTTCCAGTGCAGAGATGCGATCAAGGAAAACCTCAAAGAGAGAAGACCAGAAGTGCTGGTAGAAGCAGCAGAAGCCAGGAAAAGTATTCGTAACGCCAGCCTGTCCTTTGCCAACTACAAGACCAAGATGACTGCCCTCCGATGTCCTGATGGATCTATCTCATCCTCCAGAACAGCAATGGAGAAGATTATCCATGACTTCTACACAAATCTCTTCAATAGCCATGTCCACTTGCCGACAAACCAAATTCCACAGGATGGATATGTCATTCTCAATGTTCTCCCTTCCGAAATCCGACACGCCATTTCATCAGTAAAGAAATGAACAGCACCCGGTCCAGACAAGGTCAGACCTGAACACCTGAAGAACCTGCCGTCAGTACTCATTAATACACTGGCTCGGCTCTTCACACGCTACCTATCTGAATGGAAGGTTCCGTCCCAATTGAAAACCAGCAGGACCGGACTACTGTTCAAGAAGGGAGACATCCATGACATTGGCAACTATCGCCCGATCTGCCTATTGTCTGTCATCTACAAGTTGTTCACTCGAGTCATCCTAAATAGGATTGCAAAACACTAGATGAAGGACAACCATGCGAGCAAGCCAGGTTCCACAAAGGATTCAGCACCATCGACCATATCCACACGATAACCAAGCTCATTGAGGTTTCTTGGGAGTTCAAGATGTCACTCTGTTTGTTCATTGATTTAAAGAAGGCCTTTGATTCTGTTGAGACAGAAGTGGTCATTGAAGCCCTAGCCAATCAGGGCATTCAAGCCCAATACATCAAGATCCTCCATGAGCTGTAGTGCGGATTCACTACCAGGATCTCACCATTCTACAAAGAAGTAATCATTGATGTCAAGAGAGGGGTTCGGCAGGGTGATACCATTTCACCAAAACTCTTCAGTGCCACCCTCGAGAACATCATGCGACTACTGGGATGGGAAGGATTGGGAGTGAAGATAGATGGTCGACAACTACACCACCTCCACTTTGCTGATGACATTATTTTAATAACACCAAACATCAGCCAAGCGGCACAAATGCTGGCCAGCTTTGACCATATGTGTGGGACGGTAGAACTACAGCTGAATCTAACGAAGAAAATGTTTATGAGAAACAGCCTCATTCCTGATGCCCCATTCATTCTCAACGGAACGACCATCTCCGAATGCAACAGCTATGTGTACCTAGGTTGAGAAGTCAACATGACAAATGACCTGGCACCCAAGCTGTGCAGGAGGAAGAGAGCAGCTTGGAACGCCTTCAAGAGCGTCGAAGAAATAGCTAAGAGGATGAAGAACCTCTGGCTCCGGGCACATCTCTTTGATTCCACTGTTCTTCCTGCATTAACATATGCCTC